GTGGTATTGATGTGTGGCTGTGGTGTGGGATGTGGGCCGGGGGGGTAGGACTGGAGGCGAGGCGCGGGGCGACACATGGGGAGGAGAAAGGGGGGGGGGGAGGGTGCATGGATGGCTGGGGGAGACTGGCATGAGCATGGCTGGGCTGGGAGTGGCTGCTGCCAGGCTGGGGAGAATGTGTAGATGACCCATGAGACAGGGCTGTAGATGGCTGTTTCCAGGTGGGGGAGGGTGCCCTGGTGGCCAGCAAGGCATGGCATGGCATGAGCACAGCTGGGCTGGGGGTGCTGCTGCCAGGTGGGGGAGGGTACATGAGTAACCCATGCAACGTGAGCTCAGTAGAGTCAGGGGTGGCTGTTGTTGGATGGGGGAGGGTACAAGCGAATTCAGGAGTGACTTGTGACCTTCCTTGCAGGCTTCCTCATTGACTTTTCTTGTGGGAAACTGTGGGGAAGGTTGCAAATGGTGATTATGTGGTTGTAGAATGCTGCAACCATTGTAAGTGCAAGCCAGTTGCCAAGTGCCCAGATCATGATCACGTGACCACAGGAGTGCTGAGATGGCTGGAAGTTTGAGGACAGGTCATAAGTACCACTCATTCAGTGCTGTCATAATTTCGAACAGTCACTGAACAAGTAATCATTAAACAAGGACTACTTATATTTGTATAGTATAATCAATTTAGATCTCAGTAATTTAACTGAAAAGACCTCAAGTGCTTTTGTTGCATACCACATAAGAGATGCTTCTTGCCCTTACATGTTAACAAAACTATTCCAAGAATAGTTCAAAATGGAGGTTTTGGCTTGCTGGATCAATTTCTTGATATGAAACTTCAATGAAAGCTAACAGCTGAAGACTAATTAGTGAGAAGGCAAGTGATTCTCCAAGTATTCATAATACCATCTTACACTATTTACGTCTTCCATCCTTATGTTGTTAGCCCCACTCTTCATAAACTCTGGTTCTAGAAAATCTAACATGGTGCCATCCTGGGGAAGTGTCACTTGGAAGTGGAGGTGTCATGTGATCATTGCAAGTTTTAAGCTCATTTAAGCAAAGTGAGCTTAAGTCTCACTTTGTTTTGTATTTCTGGTAGGTCTCCAGCTACTTTTAATTATTAGGGCTATGCAGTGCCTCAAAGGTTCTTCAGACCACATGGGAGCTGGAGTGTAACTTCAGTCTGCAGTTCTTTAAAGCAATGTCACCTTCTTCTCAGATTGCCCTCTGAAGTTGCTGCATAATCCCAGAAAAAAAATGCTGCTTTAAAAAATTACTGAAAGGTGCTACATGCATGCCTCCAAAGCACCATTTCAGAATTAAATCTAAAGCATTGCTCAGCCCTGTTAAAAGAGTGCTCTGCTTTCAGCCTTAACATGGCAGAGGCATTACTATAGTAATGAAAATATGTGTTTGATATGAATGTATGTGTATGGTAGAGAGTTTTTTTCCCTTACAGAATACTTTTATAGAGGTCACTCCCAAATTCCTCCTTTCAAATAAGTATTTATCCTCCACTTCTCTGCTTCATTTCATTTTAGGGCAAGCGTTATAAAAACTCCTTGGAGACTGTGGGAACTCCAGATTCCAGCCGATGCCGGAGTGAAAAGAAAGCCATTAAGTAAGTCCCAGTAGGAATTATTGGAGTGAATGGGTTTGAGGTGTTTGAATCAGTCATTGCATAAAGATACTTTGCAGGGATATGTTGGGTATTATACCTTCAAACAACTTTGTATCTGAAAACAAGGTATTTCTAGTCATTCTGATTCCAGTGGTCCTAAAACCACATTCCTATCTCCTTTACAACCCTATCACTCCAAATCTAAGTGCAGCTATATTCCATATAGTCTTGCACATTATTCATATTGTTCAGTTTGGGTAATTGTTCCTCTGTTTCCATAAACACCATGTTGTTCTGCAACCCCCTCATCAAATAATTCTGTTTCAACATTCAGCATATTAATATTCCTTCTTGTATTAGCTCAGCACTTTGAGTTACCTAGATAGCGGCCTTCCCTTCTTTGTAATATCCCATATCTGATGATTCCAGGTTTAATGCATTCCCCCAAAGGCTCAAGATTTCAAAATCTATTAAATTCTTGTTATCTGCCTTCCATCCTTTCCCAGGCCCATACCATGTACAATTATATCTGCTCCATTAACACTTCCTCATATCGTAGCCTTCTATCTTCTTTTTTAAAACACAGCCCAGCTTAAGGAGCCATAAGAAGGGAGAGCTGTTAGCACATGAGCAATAAGCTGGACATAAGTCACCTCAACAATGTGTTTCCCACTATTGTGAAACATGTCCTGTAGCCATCATTTCAAAACATTCATTTGTGTATAAAAGCTAACACATGCAAACTTTGTAAAATTGTTTTCTCTTTCGCATGCTTTTTTAACGATGTGTAAGTGGCCAACCAATTTTTTCCAGACACATTCCTCTATTTCAGATGTTATCTTCTTTCCCATATATTAACAGATGCAAGCTTTCTAAGAAATGCCCAGTGTTATCTAATGTGTAAGCCATTCTCACTTGTTATATTCCAGTCAGTAGAAAAGATTAATTTTTCTTCCATCTTTTGACAAATGATAAATTCTCTACATGGAAGAGCAGTCAATTGATATTTTCAACTCTATGGTCCTCCAGATGTTAATAGACTGCAACTCCTAGCAGCCCCAGGCAACATGGTTGATAGTGAAAGGTGCTAAGACTTGCAGTTGAGCAACGTCTGGACAATATGTTCCCATCCCTGCAGTACGATTTAGTGTCATGGTTAGCTATAGTGTCAGAGTTAGTATCCAGAGGAATAGAAAAGACTTATTGTACAACCACATAAATGTTTACATGGAAGTCTCTGTAATAAGTTGTTTAGAAGTACAGGTTTAGTTACACAGAAGAGAATTAGACCTATCCTTTAGACATTGCTTATGGAAGCAAAATAAGGACACATAACAGTAACTAATCTTCTCCTGGCATGTGAAGCTACTGTGACAGACAGTGGGATGTTAGAAGCCTTTATGGTTGCCTTAGTTATTTCCTTGATATACCAGTATAGCTCTACATATAACTCAACTGAAAATGCATCATCATTCACCCATTTCTTTTATTTCATATTGCAAGGATATTTTAAGGTGAGTTAAATTTTTATGACCATTGCGCATAGCAATACATCACAGTGAGTTGATGTTTCTCTGTCATGGTCCCATAATTTGAATTTTTGATATCTATGCTCCCTTGTAGTGGGACTGATATATAATCTCATCTTCAGGAATTCTTTAAAATGTTACACTTCTGGAAAGCATGATTAAGTAATAATTTCCATAAAATAGCTGTTTCACCTTCTGATATAATCACCCAAGCTTTCCCTCAGTTCTTCTCTGACATCTGCCTATGGGATTCCCAAATCTAATTTTCTACACTAAAGAACGCTGTGGAGTTTTGAGATTTGCTTGATGACGTTCAGTGGAAAAGCTGGATGAAGGAACCTTGGTTATTGCCCCTGGAGCTATGGTGATTTAGTAAAATAAGTGTTACCTTAAAAAGTATGGGCATCTACAGTTCTGCCTGAATCATCTTCAGTTGGGTACAAACCAGTTGATAAAATTTCTGTCCCTCTGTGTGCATTCATGTTTTGTGCATGCCTTTATATGTAATTATGCATATGTATAACTGTGCATAATATATAAATAGGTATTTATGTTTTTGTGTGTGTGAAAATATGTATATATGTATGTTGAAAATGTGTGCTCATATGTAGTTGTTTGTTAATTCCCTGGATGCATGGTCTTATCAGTAGCTTATGGTTCTGGGTGACACTATTAGCCAAACCCTTAGCTGAATCAGATCCATGAATGCAGTGCTCCAAGGCTATCATAAATCTGTGATGCTGATAGTTGTTTCCCTGTGTGCTTTGACCTCTGCGCATCTTATCTGGAGGTCATGGATAATTATGCTGAGGGTGGATCAAGACCACCACACAACAATAGCCCCAAGATGTTTCTTCCGTCAGAGCTGACAGTAAACACTGGGACAGTTTCAGAGAGGAATCTGAGACTCTCTTCTTACACTCTGCAGCTGCAAACATGTTTACTTCCTTAACCCTGTATTGAAAGGACTCTACAAAAACTCTGGCCTGAAGATGCTTGCCACATGATGAAGGAAACAGGCAGGCAGGCATAGCGGAGAGGTTGGCTTCTCCACTTTTTTGCAACACTTTTCCCTTTGTTTCCATTCTTGGTACCTTGTGGATGAACCTTGAGTTCCTTGGTGAACCACAGCTGTCCTTTATAGCAAGCTTTTCATCTTCCCTCTATATGTGCTTCAAGAAGCCATCAGAAAGGCTTTTAATTCCTGAAAATGGCAAAGACAGTAGGTGAGTGGTAAGAGAAGTGGATGCAAGCAGATAGCCTGCAAGGAACCTTTGATGTCTCTAATAAGTTTGTCAGACAACCATTTGACTTCAAAGGCTATGGTAAGATCTCATATGCTGTGACTTAATTGCCATTGGAGGCACTCTAAATTTAGGAGGAGATGGTTGGTTAGGCTCTAGCTGTTTACAGAATGATGATATAACCTACTTAGCAAGCACTGTCAGCCCACAGACTCCAGCCTGAGGCAGCTCACCCTCCTTGGCTCCTTCTGCACAGCTGAGCAGAAGATCTATGCAAGGAAATGCCACATCCCTCAGGCTGAGTGGGGCCTCTTCCTGTGGACAAGCATCTAAAGTTTTATCACTTCCCATGTTCCAAAGCTGTAATGACAAGGACAGGAAGAAAGTTCAAAGCCAAGCTCTTGCTCCAATGAAGAATCATTTCTATCTATTCAGGGGACCACTATTCCCACCCCCATTCCTTCAGAAACAGTTTGAAGCCAACCTACAGTTGTCTTTGTGCCTATTAGCTTAAAATGCCCAAGAGCAACACTGAAGTTTCTGAACTTATGTGAAGGTTGTTAGAGACATGAGCCAGGAGAATGGTTGAGGAAAGAGTTCCTACCAGTAGAAGAGTGGACTCAGTGCAAAGCTGTAGCAGTCCAGGTGAAAAGACTAGCTTGGCTGCAATTTCAGATACATGCAGCTGACATGGATCTAGAATACCACTATTGTCAATAAATCAGTTAGGTTCAGAGCAGATTCAGCTGCCGCAAAGCACCCATGTGTAAGTGCCCCTAAATTCAGTATGAAAACTGAGAATGGGCTAAGGCTCTTCCATAATACTGATGCCTCTTTTCCCACCATCACTTTATTATATACTTGATGAAAGGAATCTAAATAACTACCTATTCCAGTATCTTTTGGGAATGATCTCATGGGAATGATCAATTAACTTACTCTCAAGGATCTTTGCTAATTGGGCTTTTGTTACTTCTCTCCAGTCTGGTACACAAATTCTGCACAGGAAACTGGAAAAGATTCCTTTGTCTCCACAACAGCAATAGATCTAGCTAATGTTCCCACTGTTTTATAAGAGTGCTGCTATTGTCCAAGGTGCTGCTTTACTTTCCACAATACCCACTTTGGATGGAGAAGATACAGAAAGGCAAAATATCCCCTGCCCCCCAAAAGGAGGAGTGCAGGTAAGAGACAAAGTAGAGTCCTGAGGAAGCAAGGCTTAGAGTCATTTAACAGAAGTTTCTTTAACCTGCATCCCTCTCTCTCCTTCTCGTTCTCCCTCACCATCAGCTCTGGAGATGCCTGCTCTGATCTTTTTCCAGCTCTGCCCATCTATACCTCATCTGAGTGTGTATGTGTGTATGTGTGGACACATGGTATGAGGCACAGAGCTTTACCTTCCACAGGAGGAGAAGTCAACACTCTAACCTTGCTGTCTCTCATTTGGGTTATTTTTTTTTTCTCCTTCCTCCCCTTGCAGGAATTTAGATTCTCTCTCTTGTATTTCCCTTTGTTTTTTTTTTCTCCCCTCTCACCGGCTGATCTAGTGATCTAGACAGAGACTTTTGGAATAACAATGACAACACAGTGCAGCAGAAATGGAGCTCCTACCCTCCCAAGGAGTTTATACTAAACATATCACCTTACGCCCCATATGGTGATCCACGACTTTCCCTCAAGTGAGTTTCTCTTTAACTGATTTGATCATCCATAGTGAGTATATGCACACCCTCTTTCCCACCTGCCCCTTCCTGCTTCCCTCTCCCCCTCCTCTTCTTCCCTCTCCCCCTGCACTCCACCCCCTCCCCATGGACATACCACCATGGAGACGAGCAACCCCTCCTCCCTTCTCTTTCTATCCTGCTCTTTCATTCAGTGGTTCACAACTACCGGCTAGTACCCATGGAATGTCAGACGTGTGTCTCTGTTGCCCCAGGAACTCTCTGTCACCCGGGGCTCAAATACTGGTCCCAGTGAAATGCAAAATACTGTACTGGTAGGTGTGTTGAAACCAGATTAAGTCATTGACTCATAACATTTGAAGTAGGCTTCTCAATCATATGGCTGATTTCATAGGTGGGTTTGGATCTAATAAGTCCATTATGATTTCAGCTGACCGAAAGGGTTGGCACTGGATAGCAACTTAAAGCCTTAAATCCTAATCAGGAGCCACTGCCCTCCTTTTGTCTTAAGGTCTCAGCTCAGGTTTTTACCCTGCTAGACTTGCAAGGTGCTTCCAGTGGTTTGAGAACCCCTGCCAAGCAACTCACTGAGAAAGGCCAGCACCTTCCCTCCCTGTCCCCTGGTTCCTTTGGCTCTCCTCTCCCTCACCCACCCACTCCTTTTCTGCAGCACAGGATGGGGTTGCCCGTTTTGGTCACCCTCTCAGCGTATTCTCTGCATCTGCACTGTGTGGTGATGGTGATGGTAGTGGTAAGCTCTCTCACTAACATTGCTTTTTTCTCCCTTCGCCTGCACAGTGCCTCTCCTAACGGTCTTATCCATTGTTCAACCCTTCGTTGTCTATGGAATTAACTTTGGCTGCAATCATAACGTCACAAGCCAGGGCCGCCTGCTGCCTTTGACTGGGACAAAGGCTCTCCTTGGCCCTTTCTTTTGCAGTGCTGATATCTCTCTTTCTCTCTGTCTGTCTGTCTGTCCCTTGTCTGTCTGTCTCTCTTTTCTCGTTCTCTCTCTCTCTCTCTTTCCGTCTGTTCTCCTCTTCTTCATGTGACCTCCTTCTCATTGCCACCTGCCACCTTTCTTTCCTGACATATCATAGTGGCTCATTGCTGTCAGGTGCAAAGTTGGCTGCCTCAGCCACAGCTGGGTTGGCAGGAGAGCGAGAAGGATGCCACGGAGAGAGGCAGCAGCTCCAAGAGGACGGCATGAAGAGCAGCGTGTCTGCCCACAGCGAGCCCAGCATTGGGAAGGCGGGGAGAGGCCGATGGCAAATGGTGCAGAGCCACCTAGCAGCAGGGAAGCTCAGCTTTTCCAAGTGAGTGAGAGTGCATCCCAGGCCGGGCATGACCTGGCCCGCTGGCCCAAAAGGCATCGCAGCTAGGAGCACGGAGGACAAACATGCCCAAATCCCATAGCGATCTTTGTGCTGAAGTCCAGAGAAGCGCAGAAAAGTGTAAATGCTGTCATTACGATACTGTAACAGAATAGTCACAGTGTGGTGGGAATAAATAAGAGGTCTTGAGGCAGATGGTTGTGTTCCTCGAAAAAGGAAGAAGGTTAAAAGTCTGAGAGAAAAAAGTTTTGACCTTTCTAATGCTTTGGGGTAGATTGCACATAAGCATGTAAATGCTTCACTCCAGCTGGGTCAGTCTAAATGTCTTTCCAACTGACCACAGATTTTTCATTAACGGCTACATTGCTGGGTGCTTCAGAGTAAATATACTGTGAGTTACAACATAATTCTAGAGTGTGCACTTTAGACATGTGATTCATTCCCATCCTTCTGCAGTCACAAAAGCTTTCAGTATCTTAAGCAAAAAGTTTGTATTCATATATTCTCCCGGTTTCTAAAACTAATTTGAATCCAGCGTTCATTGTTTACTCTTTTGCAAGAGAATCACAATGTAATTTCTCAAAATTGGTAAACTATTATAAAAGGGAAGGAGCAAGGGACTAGTAAAGCACTTGTTGTGTCAGATATTCCCTAAGGAGCTCCCCCTAAGGAATTTCTCTGTGAAATCTATTATTGTGTTATGTTCTTAGTCACAGACCAAAGTCTGATGACCTAGAATATGGGTCTTATGTTTGATGATGAACAAACCTCTTGTAACTAAATTGGAAAAAAAACCTGAGGTACTGAAAAATACCTCAGTTAGGCATAATTTATTGGATTTGCTTGCTTATTTTCATCAAATTTAAAAGAACTTCTGATAAGGAAGAAAGGAAGAATGGAAGCTGAGTCTGGCTGAACACTAGCACTGAATATAGACTTAAACACTAATGGCCAAGCTTCTCTTAATAAGGATTCTTTTATGCAACTATTAAGATAGCTTGTCATTTACCAGACACTTTTGGTGGCCAACACCCTAAAAATGAGCCTTCTAACAAATCCTGCTGTTCCCTGACTCTACTCCTCCTCTTACTGTCTTTGCTTGTTCATGTGCTCTCATTGGATAAATGGAGACAAGAGCAGCAGCTTCTACTTCCTCTGTGTGTGACAGTATAGATTGGGTCCAAGAGGAGAGGCAAAGCTAGTGGAAAGGAGAACAGGCAGTAATAAAGGTCTTGCTAGAGAGGGTGCCCACTCAATAACGTCTTTCCAAGAACCCCATGACATCTGAAGTACATATTAGTAATAGTTATATGTGGAGAATGTTGCACATGATGAAAGAGCTTTGGTGCTGCTTGTGTGGCACAGTTCCCACCCCTGAGGCAAGGCACATTCTGTGGCAGAAGTGGTTTCCGTGTCAGTGTGTGCTGCTTTGATGGAAATAGCAAACAAATCTCATGCTGTATGGATTAATGGGATAACGATTTTATCATGGATATTTCTATGGTGCTTCAGGCTGCCAATCACTGTTTTCAAAGTATTTTATTAGTCCACTGAGAATAAAATGTGCTTTAATAATCAGTATTATTAAGGGCTTGTAAGCTTGGAGACATCAGAACTGACAACGCTGGTTTGCTATTGTCACAATAACCAGGCTCACCTTGCTGCTCCTATGACTTGCAAGATTACATTATGGCTCTTTCCATGACCCATGGAGTTCAACCTGTGTGCTGGTGACACAGTAAATCTGGTCCTACCACCTGTCCTTCTTACCAGACCAGTCATCAGACTAGTATCTGTAAGCTCCAGTGTCAGTGAAAAGTTCCTCCAGCTGGATCTTTTGCATTTCCAAGAATTACTTTCTTTTAGAGGCTTTAAGTATATTTGACAGCTCTTTTTTTAATACATCATGGATTTCAGCATGGTAAATATAGGGTCTCTCTGTGGTCCCCTCTCAAGGCATTGACCTGTTTAACTTAAACAGGGTGTGCCCTGGGATCATTTTGGAACCATGCCCCTTTTTTGTAAGGAATCAACATCCCTGGGGCAGCTCTTCTTCTGATCTATAGGTCTTCAAGGGATCTCTTTAATATGAAAATGTGTGGGGGAAGCTGTTTTATAATGCTGCTTCCTGTTCTACTCTCAGCTGCAAACTCAAAGCTCATAATATCTAAACAGAATAATATCAGAAATACATGTTATTATCAGAAGAGGCTTGGACTGATTGAGTTGGAACATTTTTTACAGCAACTCCTATGATAGAATATTTTATCATCCACCATAACTGGAAGCAAAGATTTGCCCTAAGGTGTATGTGCCCACAGAATCATTCACTCTGAAGCCTACCATCAGTTGCTGGTCTGCAGCTACCCAGAATGTACATGCAGCTCAATTTACTTTCTCAGTTATGTCTTTTAAAACCATCTGATTTGAGATACCTTCCAGGACTCTGTTCTACCTATTTCAAAGCAAAAAATCAGGTTTCATCTATTCTGTCGCCATTTATTATCATGCAGAGAATGTAAGTAAATAAATGTTTGGGGAAGACAGTATTTATCCAGGGTGTAAATGAATACATAAGCAGCGTATTCATATTTTCCTGACATTTAGTCCCAGATTTAGAGGTCTTTTGATCATATAGCATTTCCTGTGGAGTAAACCAATCCGATATATATATGTATATATATATCCCTCCCAATGGAGACTCTTGTCCCTGTATCTGGCATGTGCGTTGTTGTGATGGAGTGCTACTTTGCTTTGTCTGTCTGGCTGAGATAGCCCTTCTGTCTGTTTGCTTGCACAGTGGCTTTGTGATAGAAACTGGATGGTAGCTATCAGATGTATTTGTAGATATGACAGAGGGCCAGGTGTGGCTGGTACAGTACTTAAAGCACTGGGGCTGCTTCTCACTACCTTGACAGAAATGTATGTATTCCACTTGCTCCCGGCCTGGAGGAGCCAATTTTAGTTTCCTGTGACTGAGAGGCTGAAAATTGGACTAATTTAGGATTTGATAGAAAACAGAAATGAGGTCACTACATGTGGAACAAGCAGGGAGGAGAAAGGCTGATTTCTGCCTTGTACCAAGCAGGAGGTAGGTTAAGCTTAGAGGTGGTCAGTACATAAGCAGCAGTACCTAAAACATATCCCAAAGTAGGAAATGGGGAGAGAAGTGACTCTTTTCTTACACAGATTTTCACAGTTCTCCTTTCTCTCTCTGCCTTTTATCTATCTATCTATCTATCTATCTATCTATCTATCTATCTATCTATCTATCTATCTATCTATCTATCTATCTACCTATCTATCTACCTACCTACCTACCTACCTACCTACCTACCTACCTACCTATCTCCTGACTACTCTTCACCGTACAAAAATGCAACAATTATTTTGTTATGACTTCCATAAGCAATTTTGCTGATTTGAGTAAAGATGGTTTCAGGCCAGGGTCAGCAGCAAGCAAAATATGATAGATCCCAACTGCTATGAGATCTTAGTTTCTGAATGTTCTTAGTTATGCTTAAGAACTGGTTTGGCTTTACTTTTTACACAAGTGACATATGACTATTTTGTGACTACTAACCCCATCTGGCTGCTCTAGAAAATGTTAGGAGCAATAAGACTGCTGGGTGATCAGCTGACTGTGCTCCTCTCTCCTTTCAC